AAATGAGTTTAGGATTCTAGATATTTATGAACATATAATTTATGAGCCAATTTACTTATTTAACCAAAGAGAAAAGGATGCAAAATAATAAATAAAAAAGAATTGAAATTAAAGCCTGGAACAAAATTATATTTTGAAAGACTTTATAACATTTTAAATAATCTGAAGATTCAATATATAAAGTAATTTTAAAAATATAAGATTACCTAATATAAACGATATTTTTTCTCAAAAATATATATATATATATATATATTTTAAAATGACTTCTTGCCTCTGGCACGAAGTGTCACCGCAACAAATACGTTGTGACTGACTTGTGAGTATCGACCCTTATGAATAAGTGTATACTCTATCCATATTAAATTATAAGATAATTTAAAATAAGATTTTCCATACAAATGAAATACAATAATGATACTTTATGGACTTATTTTTTAAAAACAAAACTATAAACTTTTAAAAATTTTCCTATATACTTAATCATTATATTACTCTCTCCGTCTCAAATTATAAGATATTTTTAGAAAATATTGAGTGTTTCAAAATATAAGACATTTTTTATAAGAATAAAGTTTCATTAATGATACTTTTTCAATATTACCCTTCTCATATATTCTATCTCTTCAATATTCTTTTATCAATGGAATATTAAATAAAGGGCATTTTTAAAAGTTTCTATTTTTATCTTGAAAAAATAAGGTTGTAAAGTGTATTTAATGAATTTTATTGATATATAAAATTTTGTCTAAGAGTGTCTTATAATTTGAAAGGGAGAGAATACAATATTTCTTCTAATCCTATTTATAAGTCACTTTTAATATTTTCACTAGAACTAGGAAAGATCTTATGCCTAATTAATTATGTCTAAAAATTTAGCAAGTTTTTAACATTATTCCTATTAAATATACCTACTTTAAAATAAAATATTCTAGTATTTAATAAATTTTCTTACATTTAACAGGAGCAAAATAGCTGAGATGAAAATAATAATCATTGAGGTTCCTTATAAATATGATTAAAATAAATATTCACTCTCCGCTTTATAAATAAGATTAGAGAAGTATCATTTAAATTTTTTCTCTACTTGTAAGGTAACATTAGAACAATATCATTAATGAAATCATATTTTCCTCAAATTTTTTTTATATTTTGGGATAACAAAATTCCTCCAAACTTATCTTATAATTTGGAATAAAGGAAGTGATTCAAGATAGCATCTTTAATTTTGTATTCAAGATAGACCATCTCATTGTCTCGTACGACATGTAGAAATTGTATATATATAATTTTTCTGCAACAATTGTATATTTTTCTGAACATCAATTTTTAACTATTTTTAATAATTTTTATGGAAAATTTTAAACCAATAGGCTCTTTGAAATTTGATATTGACGAGAAAATGTCTGCATGCTCAAAAATAAATTAAAGCAAGCAATGATAAAACACTGAACTATGAAATAAAAATAACAAACACACTGAAAACAGAAAGCCAAAAAATAAATAAATGATGCAGCTCTATATGTTGGACTTCCATGTTGCTGCAATCCATGAAGGCTCCCAGGGCCAAATGTATCATGTAAGCAAACGAGGTCTTTTTAGCAGAAACCTCGTCAAACCCATGATGATCCGGAAACTCACGACATAGTCAAATGTTTCTATTTCAAATGTTATTCAAAGTTACTTTATCTCAATAATAATAATAAAAAAAAATTATCAGCAAGGAATGCACATTCTTTTAAGCAATGTTTTAAAACCCGGACCGGACAGCGAATCGGAAATATCAATGGGTCACGGGTCTTATGGTTCAACCGGTCAGACCGGCGGTTGGACTGATGACCTAATAATTAAATAAAAAATTATTTATATATATATATATATAAAAGAAACAAGTTAACAAAAATACAACACTAGATTCTTGAATGCATCAGGATTTAGGCATAATCACTTGAAAAAAATAAAATTTCTATTTGCAATAAACAACTCTTAGACAATAAAAAATAGATTCATCTTCATCCATTTAATAATCTTTCATTTTGCAATAAACAGCTCAGATAATAAAAAGCAAGCTCATCTATTAGCATTCATTCTACTCCATTTAGAACCATAGAGATTACATTAAATTGGGTAGAGATATAAATGAGGGAGAAAGAAAATCTCATTGGGACTGAGAGAGAGAGAGAGAGAGCAATCAACAAAGAAGATGAAGAATCATGAAAGGGGTCGAGCTCGACGCCATCTGACTATTTTCAACAACTAGATGCCTATACTAGAGTTAACCAAGAACACGAAGTCAGAAACCAAAATGAAGAAAGTGAAGTGAAGATGAAGAATAAAGAAGCATTTGAAGTTTGAGAGAGTTTGAGATTACTAAAGTTAAATGGTGAAGACAACGAAGGGTGAACATAGAACCCAAATGGTTGAGAAAGCGAGTCCAAGATGGCTAAATGGTGAAGACAGAGCCCAAAAGGCTGAGTGGCTTGAGGGAGATGACACATAGAACAAAACCCAGATGGCTGAGATTTGAGAAGGTGACGAGAATGAGTGCGTGCATTGTGCGAGACAGAGAGAAGTGAGACTAAAAAGAAGAAGAATGGGTCCTTATAGGTGTTGGTCTGCTAGACAAAGTGAGAAGAAGGGTTTTTTATCTTTAAAAATACCAATTTTATCATTTTTTTGCGGCCCGCTGTTGACCTGTAAAACTCGCTCCGGGTTCCGGGTTTTTCCCGAGTCTTTAAAAACCGTCCGGTTCTAGGCGGGCCAACCCGGGCCAACTGCTAATCCTGGTTAATTGGTTGAACCAGCCCGTTTTCTTCAGCAGGCGACGGTCCGACCGGTCCGACCGTCCGGGTCAGTCTGGGTCTTAAAACCTTGCTTTTAAGGGTTGAGACGTATAGTGCCAGCTCAGCTTAAACAATCAAAATGACATGAACTAAAATAATGTCAAAGAGTCTTCTCTTGTATTGCCTCATTTTTTTTAAATAGTTTATTAGTATTTATCTGGATGTGTAAACAGTTTTCCATGCGTTTTTAAAATTATCCTTATTTATTTTATGAATTCATATTCCCCATTATAGTTAATCCTATAGTTGAGAAAACAACACTTAAAAAAAGAAAGATATTTTCAGGAAAAAAATAATTAGTAATCAAGAAATTAAATTTATATAACTGATTTAATATTGTTGTCTTGTCCCGCAGAAGTAGTTGTCCGTGATTAGCAAGAACATAGCAAAATTATTGATGCTTCGAAGTTTAAAGTTGGAAAAAAGTAGGTGATGAACTCTGGAAATTTTTCCTAAAAAATAAATGAATTTCGTGTAAATTATGTACGATGTCAGAAATCATGAAACAGAATGAGAAAATTGTACATAAAAGCCAAGTAATTAATCAAAACATTTGGAATAAAGAACCAAGTCTTGAAAATTATTAAATGCGCGTTGTAGATTTCCAATCAAGCTTCCACAATCATCTATGCCGATAAAATATTCAAATTATTTGGTTCTTGGTTCTCATAGACTTTAGTTGCTTACACAACTACATGAACAAGTGACAAGTGACAAATCTCGCCCAATCAACAAGTTTTTTGATTTCCATGTATGATAAAATAAAATATATAAAGTATTAGAATAACAATTATTGTTGATAATATATACACACACGTATATATGACAACATTACGTACATTAAGAATACTTAAGTGAGTCAATTATAAACAACCATTTACATTTCAAATAAGCAAGGGTACAATAAGTTGAGAAAGGGCTGGCAATCCCCCGGCTGGGCCAGTAAATATATAATCAACGAAATGATTAAGGTAATTAATTTTGTAACCCAAATTAATTAACCCATGATATGAATTTTTTTAACCAACATCCATGCTATGAAGTATTCAAACAAACAATTAATGCCTGAAAAGCTTCGTTGTGAAAATCACACAGTCAAGACTCAAGTCAATGAAAAGACTTAAGCACGACAATCACGTCGATATACCATCTTTCCCTCTCTCTCACACACAATGAAGGCGCATCACCAACTAGATAGCTCAACCTATTCAATTATGTTACACCCATAAAATAATTATGCCAGGATGGGTAGTGCAAAGGGAAGGACCAGCATTGCCCATGACCCCCAAGTTTTTTTTTTTTTTGGTATTATATAGATGTTATGCATGTTACTGGCCCTTTCAAGATTTATGAATGTTTTATAGTATATATGCTTTTTTTTTTAAATATAATCACAACATGCATGGCTCAGCTGGGAAAATAGGAATGGAGAAAATGATGATGTAAACCTATTGTTTTAAATATTTATTTTAAAATTTAATGTGATTAGTTTGAATCATGTTATGTAGAGAAAAATGATGATTTTAAACTTTAGATAACATTATCTTATTTTTTTACGAAGGAGAATTAAAGAGACTATGCAACTTTGAAAAAAGAAAGGATAAATAAGTAAATTATTCTCTAATCTATAAATCTAATAGCGTATGGAATCCTCAAGTCATTAAGTCATTTTTTATGTAATATTTCCCTTCAACTTTAAAAAACAGTACAATTTGACTTTTGTCATTAATAAAAATTAACTTTGATCATTAATTAATTAGCAAATGCCAAAAAAGGACAAAAAAATTTCTTGGTCATTTCTTGTAATTTTTTTATCCTTGTCTATAATTTTTTAATCCTTTTTTTTAAAATTTTATGGTTTTTTTATTCTTTTCTAGTCAATTAAGGTCAAAGTTAATTTTTGTTAATGGCAAGGTCATATTACATTATTTTTAAAAGTTGAAGGAGAACATTGTATAAAAAATGAGTTCAAAGTTTCAAATATTTTTAAACTTATAGTTTAAAGATCAATTTACTTATTTAACCAAAGAGAAAAAAGATGCAAAATAAAAAACGAAACCTAAATAATGCCTCATCCATGTAAAAGTGTTTGGTGGTCCTCCTTTTCATACTCGAGAGAGATTAAGAGTGGAGTAGGAGGACAATATTGAGGATGACATGGAAGATAATGATGGAGAATGGGAAATGACTGTAGATAGAAGGGAATACGTGGACCGTAAAACTCACTCCAAACGAGGACACTGCCTCAAAAATTAAATGTGTGGGGGATGATTGGAATGGAAAATGGCAGAAGAGCATGGCCTGTTTGATGAAAGCATTCATTTCTGTCATTTATGAAATGCCCAAATTCCATAGCGACTGTGGATCACATTGCCCTTCGCGTCTGGACCTGTCATCGCGGCATTTTAATATTTATTTCTTTTTGTTATTATTTGGGTGGCTTGATTAATTAGTTGAACTAAATCTTGAAAGGTGAAGAGGGAATTACGTGCAAGGCTGGATCTTTAAGGTTGGTGTATGAATGAATGAATGAAAGTGAAGATGCCAAAGCAGTGGAGGCTCGTTTAATTTGTAATTTGCTGATCGGGAGAAAAAAGAAATTGAGATGACGTACCTATGTTATGCATGCTCATTTGACAAATCCTATAGTTGAGAAGACAATACTTAAAAAAAAGAAGGATATTTTTAGGAAAAAAAGTTAAATAATAGTCAAGAAATTAAATTCATATGACTCATTTAATATTGTTGTCTTCTCCAGCGGAAGTAGTTGTCTGTAATAAGCAAACAGAGAGCAAAATTATCGATGCTTCAGAGTTTAAGGTTGGAGAAGTAGTTGGGAGTAGAAAAGTAGTTGGAAAAATCGAAAATTTCTTGTCTATAAATAATGGACCTTAGGATTCAATTCCATTCGCACCTAACGTAGTCTTCAACTTTGTTGCCCAAAAGATTCTATAACATGATAATCATGTTGAGTCCTAAGTTCAGTCTCTTTTGGCTACTTGGGTTTTTGTGTATCTTTCTGTGTGCAGGATATCCCAACAACGCAAAGAGTTGCATGGAATCAGATAAGGAAGCCCTTCTCAAGTTGAAAGATGGTTTCATTGATGACTCGGGAACTCTATCGCCATGGGAACATGAAGTTGATTGCTGCAAATGGAGTGGGATTTCATGCAATCATTCAACTGGCTATGTTATCATGTTCGATCTTCATAACTATTATTTAAAAGGTGACATCGATTCTTCATTGTGTGATTTGAGGCATCTAGTTCTCTTGAATCTTGATTTCAACCAATTTGATGGAAGCAAAATTCCGAAGTGCATTGATTCTCTTGGTCAACTAAGAGAGCTAAGGCTTTCAAATACTAATATTAGTGGTACTATTCCTCATGGGCTACAAAATCTATCTAATTTACAGATTATTGATCTTGGAGGAAATTCTAATTTGATTGCAAATGATCTTGATTGGATTCCTCATCTTTCATCTTTGAGATATCTTGATTTGTCAGGAGTTAATCTAAGTCAAGTTATTGGTTGGCAATCATCATTGTCGAACAAAACTCCTCAACTAAGAACCTTGAAACTTCATGAATCTTCACTTTATGGCGTTATTTCTCATGAAATGAAGAATCTTTCCAATTTACAAATTCTTGATCTTGGATGGAATTCTAATTTGATTGCAAATAATCTTCAGTGGATTTCTCACCTTTCCTCTTTGAGATATCTTGATTTGTCAGGAAGTAATCTTAGTCAAGCTATTGATTGGCAATCATCATTAGGCATGGCCCCTTCTCTAGTTGAACTTAACTTGGCTGGCTGTGCTTTGATATCTTATCTCAATCCTAAATCTTTCTTCCCCGCAAATTCTTCCTCTTCCCTCAAAGTCCTTTATTTGGCATCAAATTATTTAGATTCTTCAATCTTACCTTGGGTGTCTAATATTAGCAAAGTCCTAACACGACTTGATCTATCTAGAAACATTTTGCAACATGCATATGCTCTAAACATTAATTCTCTTCAGGTTTTGGATCTCAGAGAAAATTCCCTACAACTTGATCCTGGAGCTTTTTCAAATCTAAATTCTCTTGAATCTTTAGATCTTTCATATGGTTCTTTGCAACAAATTGTTCCCAAAGCTTTTGCAAATATGATTTCACTTAAAAGCCTTTATCTCACATCAACATCCTTACAACATTTCTCTCCAGATGCCTTCAAAAATACCACCTCTCTTAAAGTTCTTGAGGTTGCACACAATAATCTTGATAATAGCATGGTCAACTCCATATCAAATTTGTGTCAATTGAAAGAGCTAGGGCTGTCATACAATAAGTTTTCTGATAAATTAAGTGAATGGATACCACAAGTATCTTGTGCCCAATACAGCCTAGAGATGTTGGATTTAAGTGACAACCCATTTAGTGAGGGGCCTTTCCCTAATTTTTCAAGATTTTCATCTTTGGTGCAATTAGATCTTGCAAATACCAGTCTTCATGGGCCAATGCCACAATCATTTGGGCCCTTACCTCACCTTTCAAGATTGGATCTAAGCTATAACAATTTGAGTGAGTCATTGCCTCAGTTTATTGGTCTTAGATCATTGAGTTATTTAGATCTCTCCAACAATCATTTGAGTGGACCATTGGCAGAGATTGATGGACTTCCATCATTGGAACATCTAGATATCTCTAATAATAAGTTGAATGAGATTCTTCCAAGGACTTTTAGAAATCTTCCTCTTCTCAGTATATTGGATCTCTCTTCCAATAAGTTGAATCATGAGATTAATGAAACATATCTATCAACTTTGTCTTGTTTAAAAATTTTGGATGTCTCCAACAATCCGATTTCTGTCAACTTTAATTCAAATTGGGTGCCACCTTTCCAATTGGAATATTTTCTTGCATCATCGTGTAATTGTGGTCCCCAATTTCCAACGTGGTTGAAATATCAAAGGGAGCTTGTGGCCTTGGACATTTCTTATGCACAAATCTTTGATTCTATTCCTCAATGGATTCTGTTATTTCCTAATTTGCGATACCTGAATATTTCCCATAACAAAATTCATGGGGAGTGGCCGAAATCAGTCTTGATGAAATTGGAAAGTGCTTATACTTGGGACTTGAGTTTCAATAATTTTTCTGGTCCCCTACCTTATTTTCCACAAAAAGCAACGGGCTTGTTTCTCTCAAATAACATGTTTTCAGGAACCATATCCTTTATATGTGCAACATTTCAGTCACAATTATATTATCTTGACATGTCAAGTAATTCATTATCAGGAAGACTTCCTGATTGTTGGAAGCAGTTCCCCTTGTTGAGAGTTCTAAAATTAGCATACAATAATTTCTCAGGGAGAATACCGAATTCAATCACTACTTTGATAGGCCTTCAGAGTATCCATTTGAATAACAATAACTTCTCAGGCCAAATGCCCTCATTGATAAATTCTCCCAACTTGTTGTTCATTGACTTTGGACAGAATAATTTGATTGGAAAATTGCCATCATGGACAGGGCACAGCTTGCCCAATTTGGTTGGTCTACGTTTGCAGGCAAACAAGTTCCATGGAACCATTCCAACAAATTTTTGTAACTTTCCTATTCTCCAAATTTTAGATCTCTCACAAAATAATATTGCGGGAAGTATACCTTATTGCTTTAATAACTTGAGAGCTCTGTCCAATATAACATTTTTTAGGCAACCAATTTCTTTTAATGACATATTCCTTGATGGTTTTCTTTCTCATGATATTCTGAGTGGTATTATTTGCAAAGTAGCAGAATTAGAAAATGCTTTACTCATGGAGAAAGCAATGTTGGTATGGAAAGGTGAACTTGTTGAGTATGGGAAGAATCTTGGACTGATGACGACCATTGATCTCTCTTGCAATCACCTAACGGGAGAAATCCCAAGTAGCATAACAACACTTGCAGCGTTGGCTTCCCTAAACCTATCCAGAAATAAACTGATAGGATCCATTCCTGACAACATGGGCCAAATGAAAAGGTTGGAATCACTTGATTTGTCAAGCAACACTCTTTCTGGTGAAATTCCAAATACCTTTTCAGCTTTGAGTTTTCTCAGTTTCTTGAACTTGTCCTTCAACAACTTATCAGGAAAGATTCCAATTGGCACCCAACTTCAATCCTTTGATGCTTCTAGTTATATAGGAAACCAAGGGCTTTGTGGCCAGCCATTGAAAGAAATATGTCCAGGAGATGGAAGTTCATATCCATCTCCAAATCCACCCAACATTGATGCAGATGATGAGAATGATAAGTTCATAAGCTTTGGGTTTTATGTGTGCATGGCTTTTGGATTTATTTTTGGATTTTGGGGAGTTTGTGGATCCTTAGTTCTCAAAAATTCTTGGAGACATTCATTTTTTCACTTCTTCGAAAACATGAACGACTGGATTTACATTCATGTTACTGTCTTGAAGGCAAAGCTAAAGAGAAGGTTCCAAGACTAACAGGTGAACATTTTCATTTTAACTTCAATATTCTCAAAAAAAGAATCATTTGCCGGATTTTTATTGTTGATTGCAATAAATGTATGTGATCAGTCTTGAGAATTGTTTACAGTAAAAGGAAATTTTCATTTTTGCCAAAACTTCTTTAAATTTGCATTATGAACCTATGATATTAATGCTACTTTCATGAGATACAGTGAGTTGAGCTGATAATACATTGTAACACTAATAAATTAGTCAATCGTTGCCGGTGACTTATAAGTACAATATCGTCATTGATTTTTATAAGCATGTATTGTAACAGGAAATTTTGATGAGTTTGATTGAATATGTGCATGGTTCGAGGAAATTGCAGAAATTCACATCATGTTGTGGCATGGTGATCAAGAGAGCAGGACTGGATCTGCTTGCATGCTTAACAATTAATTTCAAGACTCAAGAAAAAATAATTTTTCTATTTAGTTATGTTCTTCTCTTTCTTTCAGTGGGCAGTTATAATGCTGTTTAGTGTTGCCAATTTTGTTTCTTGTTTTGTTTATTTGTGTGTGTGTGTAAGAAATTAAAGGGTGAAAGCTAGGTGAAAGGTTATAATGTTGTTAGTGTTGTTACCTTTTGAAGTTTTGAGTGTGTTTTGATAATAAAATGAGTTTTAAAAAATTGGGCTTATTTAGTAACTATATATATATATGTATATGAATTGCTTTGGACATATATAGGATGAATTCTGAAGTAAACATTTATGATCTTAATATTTCTTGATTCTTATTAATAAATAGCTGAAAATATATTTCAAAGGGAATTAATTGCTAATTGAGTTGGAAATTATTTCTCAAAAACATTTCATGATTAATTAAGCTTGATGGATTTAGGAACTTATATGATTCCAAGATTTAAGAAATGTTTTTATACACAAATTCTCACATGCTATGCCCCTGAATTTAGTGTTTCGCAATAGTGAATATATGTATCTGCAAGGAAAGATTATCGTTGTTGAAAATGAAAAGACTACAAGTCTGATTTCAGGAAGCAGAGAGAGGGAGAAAATCTGTTGGAGAAAACTGAAGCACAATACAGTAAGATGATTCATATGGTCTGCTTCTTCATGACAGAGCATCTCAATGGAATAAACATGGTGAACATTAGAAGAGCGGCTATGGAAAGAAGAAGTTGATGATTGGATCTCAAGCATTAAAGAGAGACTCTTTATTCTAAAACCATATCTAGGCATCTATTATAAGAAAGCTGCTGTTTAATTAGTAAAAGCTGAAGAGCTGCCATGGGGTGAATAATTTTGCAGAGATTTATAGTGGGTAGTGAAAATAGGAAAGTTAATTGTTGGATTTTTGGAGTTTTTGTATGTGCTTAGTGATTGCCCATATATACAAAAAAAAAAATCCCTTGCTTCGTGCTTGGGGACTGGATGTAGGATATAATTATATCTGAACCAGAATAAATTGTTTGTGTATGATCTTTTCCTTCCTCTCCTTATCATTTACAATTTATAATTTGTTGCATTTCAGTAATAAAGAGCAAGGGTATACATTGCCTAAGAAAATGATATTAACCCAAGCAACTTAAGAGGGTAAAGCTTTATTTCCTTGATAAGTTCTAGTAACAATTGTAGTACCACAATAATATTAACAACAGAACCAAAGGATTCAACTTAGTGAAATGACAGAACTCAATAAATTCTCTCAAAGCAAGGCTATCCTTCAAATTAAAATGCACTTATTCCTTCATAGGATAAGCAAATCAATTATTTTTTATTCATAAATGGAGATAAAGAAGAACAGGAATTTAAAAAAAAAAAAAAAAACGCATGCACGCACAAAACAAAATATGTGACATTATTGGAGAGTCTGTAATTAGTGTTCCCCATAACAAAGCTGAACTGTATAATACTGTTTGATGTACTTCAGTGGCTCCATGCCAACAAAATCCACCATTCCGCAACATCAAAAATTTAACATTAGTAATAATATTGTCTGATAAATATCTTCACTAACAAAAAAAAAATCCCAAATAATCACCAACGCCGTCTCAATTACAAGCGCAAGCATCCTTGTCCTTTCAAAGATTATTTCTTATTAATATACATGTAAATCGTCATTTCCAAATATAGAAGAAAGAAAAGGTTTGAATGAAAAAAAAATCAGAGATACAAAAGAATAAGCTATCCATCCACGAGAACCATGTCCAGGGATTGAAACCTTATTAGGTGTATATCCAACATCAATCATTAGCATCTCCATCCAATGGATTCAACTTAGTTAAATGATGGAATTTATGTTCGAATATTAATTGGTAGTTAATCATGGTTAGATGTTTGCCTAAGCCTATATGTGTGTGTGTGAAGGGTAGGCATTTAGGTAGGAAAAATTATGGTGTAATCCCTCATTTGTTTGTCCTTATAGTTTGGGGATGATTGATTTTGATCAACCTTTAGTTAAGGGTAGGTTAGTTTGAGCATGTTGTGCTGCTAGTTGTATAAACATTGTTTCTCCATTTGTCAATGTTATCTTTTGCCTTCAATATAGTTAACAATTTAATAAATGCTTCCAAAGTAGGATTGCCCTTCAGAACACAGTTGGTAGTATTTCTCTCTTAGAATAAGAAAATCAATTATTTTTTATTCATACTTCATAAATGGAGATAAAGAACATTAATTTGTTATAAAAAAAACACATGAAAAAAAAATGGAAGCTCTTTATCTTGCTCCTTAAAATGCAAGTGGTAGGTTCCATATTCAACTCCAACTCCACTCAATTTTTTTTTTAATTTATTAACACTCGTCCTATAAAAACATCAATCGCACTTGCCGGTTCTACAATAACAAGCACCCTTGTCCCCAGTTTCACATATTATTTCTGATTAATATTGATGTCATCATTTCCAAATACAGAAAAAGAAAATATTTGAAAGAAAAAGCCAGAGATACATAGAAGAATAAGCTGTTCATCCGCAAGAACTATGTCAAGAGATTGGAAACTTTTTGGGTGCGTGTATATACCCAACATCAATCATTGGCATCTCCATTCAAATAGAGAAGACGTTTAACAAATGTATACACCTTAAACCAACGTTAACAAAAGTCCCAAGAGTCACGTTTAAGAGACAAATGAATGTTCTTCTCAACAATGTTATTCAGAGTTCAACTTTCCAAGGATCATCCACCACTTCTATCTTTAACTCCCTCACAAATTAAATATCTCTACAAGTGATGAGAGGGGTGTTAAGAACCCTAAAACTACAAGCCATACAACAAGTCTATAATAAGAAAGCCCATGATCGCTACATAAATGACATTTAATAGTATGCATTTTATAACATAAAAAACACCACTAATATTAAATCCAAAGATTTGGGTGACATTTGTCAAATATCACCGCTTATAAATTACCCTTTTTATTTACAATTTTAGTATATAATAATAAGTGGCATTTTTAAAATGAAATGCCATGGCTTTTTATTAATCAACATTAAAGTGGCATTTCAATAATAAAATGCCACCTTTCTAATTTATCATTAATTAACTATATTATTTTATTAGATCGTATAATAATTTTAATATAATTATTTAATTATAATTAATGATAAATATATATTCTTAATTAATAATTAAAATTAGAGAGATGGCATTTCAAAAGTTAGAAAACACCACCTATCTATTTTTTTTTACTAAATAGGCATTTTGTTAATAGTTAAAATAAGATAGGTAGTGTTTTCAGTGTTTTGAAACGCCACCTCTATACTATTGTTTATATTTCAGATTAAAAAATTATTTTATTACAATTTATTTAATTAAATTAATAATTAATATATATTATTATTTTGGAAACTCAAAATCAAAGAAGTGACGTTTCAAGACAAGGGAAACACCACCTCTTTATCTGATTATCAAATTAAAAAATTATTTTATTATAATTTTATTAATTTTGAATAAATAATTAATATATATTATTATTTGTTAATAAAAATAAGAAAGGTGGCATTTTCAGACCTTGAAAACGGCACCTATCTATTTGTTACTGATTTAATAATTATTTAATTATTATTAATGATTAATATAAAATTATTATAATTAATTAATGTATAAGAAATTTATAATATTATTAAATAATTTTATTTCATAAGATTAAAAAATTATTTTATTATAATACACAAAATTTATATTAATAATTAATAAATATTATTATTTTAGTTAATTAAGAGAGGTGGCATTTCCTGATCATGGAAACACCGCCTCTCTCTGTTAGGATTAATGTTTAATTTTAGGAGATTAAAAAATTATTTTGTTACAATTTAACTAATTAGTATTTGCAATTAATATATAAGATTATTTAATAAATAAAGGCAAATAGGTGGCATTTTCAAAATCTAGAAATGCCACCTCTATGATTTTTTATTAACTAAATGTTAAATTTATAAGATTAAATAATAATACTTTATTCTTATTTATTTAATGTTTATTATTAATTAATATATATTATTATAAGATGAGTATGTTGTTTTATTGGAATTAATAATCATTTTGTTTTAATTTAATTAATTATTATTAATTAATAGTTAATTATATTATTATTTGATTAGTGTTAATTATTTTGTCAGATTGTAGAATTAACCTTATAATAATTTACTTAATTATTATTAAAACTTAATATGTAATATTATTTAATGAATAAAATGGATAGGCACCTCTCTTGTTTTTGTTAATTAAGTCATTTTATTTTATAAGAGCATATCATTATTATATTATTATATTATTTTTAATCAATTAATATCTATTATTCTAATATCAGTATTTTGTTTTATAGGAATTAATAATTATTGTACTTTACTTAATTATTATTAAAAATAATTAATGCATATTATTATATGATTAGTATTAAGTATTTTATCAAATTATGGAATTATATTATGATAATTTACTTAATTATTACTAAAATTTAATATATAATGTTATTTAATAAATAAAACAGATAGGTAGCATTTTCTTGATTTGAAAATGTCACATCTCTTGTTTTTGTTAAGTAATTTTTTGTCCAAATTTAAATAATTATATTATAATATATTAAATCAGTATTAATTATTATATTAGATAAATAATAATTTTACTATAATTTAATTAATTAATGTTTGTAATTAATGAATTGTATAAGATTAGATAATTATTATAATATAATTTACTTAATCATTAATAATTATTTTATTAGATAAATAATTACTTTATTATAAAAGAACTCTATTACTTTTTTCAGTTAGGTATTTTATTTTATAATATCAAATATTTATTTTATTTTAATTTAGTTTATTAGAATTAATAATTAATATTTATTCTAATTTTAAAATAATATAGGAGGCATTTTCAGCTTCTGGAAACACCGCCTCTATATTTTATGTTAAATTTTTATTATATTTCTTACTGAATATATGTAGTTATTTTTATTAATTATAATAAATAAATAGCAATAAAAAAGAATTAATAGAGTTTTTATAATATAAATAATTGATAATAAATTAATTTATTTATATATTTTACTAAAAATATTTCTTTGTTAATGGTATTTAAATATAATATATTTTATATTTAATAATATAATATTATTTATGTTTAATTTAAAAAAGTTTGAAGATAGGTGGCGATTTGTCATTGGGAATCACCACCTTTGTGTTTGAATTTTAAAATTGCTAAGGTGGTAATTCCCATTTCCCAATCGCCACCTCATAAATGTTGCCTTGGCCCTCAACTCTGTCCCACTGCTCTGTCTCTTTCATCCGTGTGCATGTACCTTTAGCTTCTCTCTTCTTTCTCGCTTTGCCCTCAGCTCGCCTGCCCGAAGCTCCATTCCAACAAACGAAGCTCACATCTCCAGCTCAAGAAGCTCCATATGCAGCTACACGAAGCTCTATTCAGCGCATGAAGCGGCTAAGCTCCAGTCGTCCAGCCCGCTCATGAAGCTAAGCTCATGTCCTCCAGCTCAATAGCTCCAAAGTTAGCTCTCGTCCACACCATTTATTTTCTCAACTCTGTCTTTATGCTCCCAAGATCCCCACATTGTCCCCCAACTTTTAGATTTGGATTTCTTACCATATCATTGTCCCCACAAATCCATTTTAAAGTTTCTCTAATTTGTGGTCTCTCATTTATGCTCGTGCTTATCCTGATCTTCAGCTTGTGGTCTCAATTTTGTTTTCTTAATTACAACAGCCTGTGCTTCATTGTGTTTTCTCCTCGTGGTATACTTTGTTTTTTATTATTTTGAATATATTATCTTTTATTTAAAAAAATAGTTTTCTTGTCTAATTAAAATATAATTGCTGAAATATATTATTTAGAATATTATTTTTATTTTGAATATATTATCATTTAATTTGATTTATTTATTTAATTCCTGTTGAATATTAATTAGGTTTCTAGGACTTGAATTTAGCTAGAATAATTATTTTACATGCAATGAAAAATGTTGAATTAATTCTTTTAGGTATTACAAGTATTAAATAGAGGGTTTAATATATGGAAATTTTCATTTTTAAGTCATCATGCCACTAAATTTTTTTAAAATTTTGAATTAATTTGTTTAGATTTATTTTAAATCCAATTATTCAATTTTCATGTTGCATGTTTCTAATTGACTAGACCATGTCCTAATTTCTTTAATTACCATAACTCATTTAGTTGCTTTGGATATCAATGGTTGTCTATTACCTAACTTGATGGATATCAATGAATATCAATAGGTATAAGGTCTAGATCGAAAGTAGATATTCGCTAATCAGTTGTCAAAGGAACATAAGGATGGGATGAAAGCATTTATTCATTTTGTAATTGAGTATGCAAAAGATTCAAACAAAATTTTATGTCCTTGCCTAACTTGTTGAAATGAAAAGCAAATTACTCCAACTAAGTTGCTAGATCATTTAATATGTCATAGTATTCATCAAAGTTATACATGCTGGGAAAGGCATGGGGAGAGAAATAATGTATCCAGTGAAAGGGTGTGTATACCATAAGGTCTTTTGAGAGACAAGATGCATGCAATGATACTGACAGCAATAATGTGTGTGAGAATGATCATCTTGATGAAATGCTAAATGTAATAAAGGATGATCTTCGTGATTGCCCTTAAATTTTTGAAAGGTTGATAAGTGATTCAAAGAAATCATTGTATCTGGGTTGTACTAAATACACTAGACTCTTAACAGTTTTGATATTGTATAATTTGAAAGCTACTTGTGAATGGACTGGTAAGAGTTTCACTTTATTGCTTAATGCTTTGAAAAAAATGTTCCCTTTTGATAATGAACTTCTTACCAAGATATATGAGGCCAAGTAAATGCTCAGTCCAACTAGTTTAGGCTATGAGAAAATACATGCATGGCCTAACGATTGCATCTTATTTCATAATGAGTTTCCTGCCTTAGAGAAGTACCCTAAATGTGAAGCATCACAATATGGAAAGAAATTAAGTCTTGCGAAGGTGCTATGATATTTTTCCATTATATCAAGATTTAGGCGCATATATGGACCTGCAGAAATTGCCAACTTGTTGACATTACATAAGAATGAAATGATTAAATATGAAAAGCTTAGGCACCCTATAAATTCTACTCATTCATTATCATCTCTATAAGCATCATAAAAAATAACCAATTCATGCATGATTAGATCTCTTATCTTTTTAATAGTATTAGATGCAGGATGATTGTAGGAATAATACTTTCAAATAAGATTGAGAACTTATGTTGAATTATCATAGACATTGACTTTATTACATCTTTCATCTCCACATGCATAAAAGTCCTTTATGTTGGAGTTTGAAGTAGGAACCTCCAAATAATTGGTATAAGCTTAGATATGAAAGGAAAGGAGGGACTTTAAGGAAAGAAAATTTTTATTGCAAGCTCTAGCAATAATTTACACACTTCCTTCTTAACTTTTCAACACACCCTCAACACTCTCTCTTCTTTTCACGTCACTCATCACACACTCTCATTTGTTTCTTCTCTTCTCTGCACACTTCACTCTTACAAAACACTCACACTTCTTCCTCCAGCTCTTTCTTCAGTTTCTCTCACACACTTCTTCTATTTCCACTTATTCACATCACACACCAGTAGGTGATGTTGGTGGGAGTTTTTCTCGATCATTCTATTTTATCATTATCATAGAAGATTAAAAAATTATTTCTAGAATCATCTTTTCACCACTATTGCTTCTCTGAGAATATCCAGATTTTTCTTGAAAAGACCTTACCACTAGATGAGAGAGAAATTTGGAAGAGGGAGAGAGAGAGTCGGTAGACTTTTTAACACTATCTAATTGTTGTAATCATCTTGTAAAACTCATTTGTAAAAGGCTCTAACATTTAATTTCCTAGCTAAAGGGAGGCAAAACCCTATTTGAAGTGAATATCTTTTTGTTTTATAGCATATACTTCTAATTGCATTTGCAGAAGTCAAGGACAATTTGATCATGCTAGTTCCATAAACTCATTGCCCTCCAAATTAGACATCATTAAGATGTAAAATCATGAGCTTGATCTCAGGGGTCTCCAAGTGCTTGAGGTACATTCCTCACAAAACCAATAGGATCTTTGATGTCATAAACTCCAACTTGATAAGGGAAAATGACTAGCTCATGATCCTAAAAAACCCACGCCTCTGCTCTCTTCCCTCTGCTCCTGACTTCCTCTATCACTTCTTTAGGATCCTTTGTTCCTTTTGGTTTATATCCACTCATTCTATCCCTTCATTTCCATAATTTTTTGTTTCATTTTAAACATTTCTTGTTTTTCAAGAAACCACATTATCTATTGCAAGCACCCATATTATATTCCGACGGGTTTTTTTTTAATGACAGATCCCCACATAAGATTAACCTTATAAGCCAAAAAAATCCATGAATGATATAAGAATATTAATAAATGAACTGAGCTCCATACCTGTAATTCTGAAGTCCTCCCTCAGATATGGGAAGCGAGCCAACTACTGCATCAAACTAGACAAGAAACAGATGACATGCTCAAAGGATCACTAGAAAGTCATATTTTTGACATATTTCCACATATTTGTAATTTCTTCACTACTATATTCAACACCTAAACATATGTATTTGACATGTTTCTATATATTAGTTTAAGTTACCATACTTATATCCATAAATAGAAATGTATTCATCTAATCATTTAAGTTTATTGTATTACATGCCCTTTAGCTTTGGATTCTACTACACACTACTGCCTATTTCATGTTCTATTGTGTTTCATGTGCTTCACAGTCTAAAATTTCCATTCCTACTGCATATGATAGAAACTTGGCATCATTCCCACACCAAAACTTGTTCTTGTAGTTGAGAGATGATATCCAATAGGTGGACCACTTGCAGAAAATAATTGTCTCAAGTAAAATTTAACTATAAAAGAAAAGGCACCAAATATATGAATATGTGAAAATGTATTTAAAAATAAAACTTTATCTCAAAAATGACAATGGATCCGAAAGTTACTGGAAACATTGACACTAGAGAAGGAATAGAAAGCAGAGGATGGTGGGATTGGTGAATGAGTAGGGAATTTAATTTGTATCATTTTTAAAACCAATAATCACATTATAAATCACGTCGTTAAATCACATCTTTTATTTTGCACAATACTTAAGCCATAAGACCAAGTCCTTTTCCTCTTCAATTCCTTTTCCAGGTTGTCTTATATTCTTATTGGAACCAATCAAACTTCCTAACTTCTATTAAAGAAAATTGTATTATAATAACTATCCAATTAACATCAATATAATCAATCCACATATCTTGTCCTTATATGCTAAATTGTCCTAATAGGCATTTCATCAAACATTTTGTAAGCATTAATCCTTAAACTATAATTCCAAGATATTTTCTTTACAAACTTCGCCTATATTTATAGCCAATCACAAGCCCGATTAAAGGAGAAAGGTTGTGTTAGGCTATCAACAGCTAACGTAAAACTTTATTGAATTTATCATGAACATGAAAAATAGATATTATAATGCTAATTCTAGGTCATTGCTCGTAAGTAATGCGCTGCATGGCTTGAGTACAGTGATAAGTGAGTTAGAGCCATTGCATCAGCGCCTGAATGTAGTGTTAAATAAGCAAGAGCTACTGCATCATTTTGGACATGCGCAGCTAAAAACGTTAGTCTATGAGAGCAAGATTAGATTTTGTACTTGGAATGTTGGGACATTGAATTGTAAATTTGTAGAAGTTGTAGGGGTTATGATTCAAAGGAAAATCAATATCCTATGCCTGCAAGAAAAAAAATGGCATAGAGAAGAAGTTAAGGATATTCAAGGTTTCAAACTTTAGTATGCAAGAAAAGTAAGCACACGCAATGGATTAAGCATCATTATTGATAATGAGTGAAAGAAGAACGTTGTAGAAGTTAGCAGAGTTGGAGACAAAATTATTTTCTTAAAAATGATAGTTGGATGTGAGACTATTAATATTGTCAGCGCTTATGCGCCTCAAGTTGGGACAGAAGTCAGTCTTAAGAAATTATTTTGGGAGGACTTGGAGGCGTTGATTCAACACATACTATAGAGTGAAAATATTTTTATTGGATGAGACTTTAATGGGCATGTCAGGAAGGAGGTTGGTCAATATTCGAGGGTGCATGGTGGTTTTGGTTTTGGAGAGATAAATAATAAAGGACAAACTCTTCTTGATTTCTCATTGACGTATGATTTTAAAATTGCCAACACTTGTTTGAAGAAGAGAGGTGAGCATCTAATCACTTGCGAAAGTGAAACCTCAAGGTCATAGATTGATTTTCTTTTGGTTAGGAACACGAATAAAAGACTCTGTAAAAATTGCAAGGTGATTCCTGGGGATGTTGTAACAACACAACATAGGGTCTTTGTCCTTGATGTGTGTATTATGAGTAAAATATAAAAACGTCGACAAGTAATAGCACCAAGGACTAGGTGGTGGCAATTAAAAGGTGAGAAGCAAAATATTTTCAAACGGAATCTTTTGGACAAAGGAATTTGGGAATCTCAGGGAAGTGCTAACATCTTGTGGGAGGATATGGCTAAAAAGATAAGGGATATTACAAAAGTAGTTTTGGGAGAATCAAAAAATTTTGGTCTGACAGATAAGGAGTTTTGGTGGTGGAATATAGTGTACAGGGCAAAATCAAACATAAGAAAAAAATTTAAAGCCATATATTTATGGCTAAGAAGAAAACTAATCTAACATAAGAAAAAAAAAATTTAAAGCCATATATTTATGGCTAAGAAGAAAACTAAGAGAGCTATGAGTGAAGCTCGTTCTAAAGCTTTTGTAAAATTTTATAAGAGCCTTGAGACAAAGGAAGGAGAACAAAACATTTATAAGATTGCTAAGAGTAGGGAAAGAAAATCAAGAGATCTAGAATAGTTAATGTGTATAAAAAATGAAGAGGGAAGAATTTTAGTTACAGATGATGAAATTAAAAATAGATGGGAGACTTACTTTTTCAAACTTTTCAATGATGGAGAGGGTTCGTCTAGTAACTTGAAGGATTTAGTAACTCGTGAAGGAGAACAAAATTTTTCATTCTATCAAATAATACATGATAAGGAGGTAAAGGAAGCTCTTAAGAAAATGACAAATGATAGAGCCAATGAACCTGATTGTACATCTATTGAAGTGTAAAAATGTTTAGGTGAAGAAAGGATGAGATGGTTAACTAAATTATTTAATATGATTTTACGGTCTAAAAAAATGCCTGATGACTAGATGAGAAGTACATTAATTCCTATTTATAAAAATAAAGGGGATATTCAGAATTATACTAACGGGATTAAACTCATGAGCCACACAATGAAATTGTAGGAGAAAATAATTAAGCATAGGTTGAGATTGGAAACAAGTATTTCTGAGAATCAGTTTGGTTTTATGCCAGGTAGATCGACTACAGAGGTGATTTATCTACTAAGAAGATTTACACATAATTTTTTATTGATTTGGAAAACGCTTATGACCGTATACTAAGAGAAGTGCTTTAGAAAGCCTTGGAAAAGAAGAAAGTACAGATTGCTTATATTAAAGTTATATAAGATATGTATGAGAGGGTACAAACTAGTATAAGAACATCTAGTGGTCAAACAAAGAACTTTCCTATAAAGATCAGACTACATAAGAGATCAATTTTGAGTCCTTATCTGTTTAAGTTGGTCCTAAATGTTTTGACGGAACATATTCAAGGGAAAATTCTCAAATGTATGCTCTTCACGGATGATATAGTTCTTATAGCAGAGACAAGAGAAGAGATTAATTGTAAACTTGAGTTATAGAGGAAGACATTGGAGTCGAAATATTTCTGTTTGAATAGGAATAAGACAAAATATTTATATTATAAATTTAATAAGAGACTAGTTGATAGTAATTTGAAAGTAAAATTGGGAGATCAAATTGTACCTCAAGTGAAAAAGTTTAGATATTTGGGAGCCATTATTTAAAATGATAGTGAAATCAGTGGAGATATTTCACATAGGATTCAAGCTGGGTGGTTTAATTGGAAAAATGCTAAATGAGTTATTTGCGACCGTAAGGTGCCTAATAAATTTAAAGAAAAGTTTTATCATACTACTATCAAACCATCTATGTTATATAGTAATGAATGCTGGGCTCTAATAGGACAACAAAAGCATAAAGTTGGAGTAACAGAGATGAGAATGTTACAATAGATGTGCGGACATATACATAAAGATAAAATTTGAAATAAGTACATACGCGAAAAGTGAAGATAGCACCTATTGAAAAAAAAATGGTAGAAAATCATTTGAGATGGTTTGGACATGTACAAAGAAGACTGTGAGAGGCACTAGAGAGAAGAGTGGAACATATAACTTTGAGCTCTGTTAAGAGGGGTAGAGGAAGGCCTAAGAGAACACTCTTAAAAGTTGTTGAATGCAATCTCTTAATTAATAATATTTCTAAAAGCTTGATAAATGATAGAACACAATGGCATCTTACAATGTAGCCGACTCCACCTAGTGGTATAAAGGCTTGTTGTTGTTGTTGTATCAAATTTTACAAATCTTCATTCCTAATAAATAATCAACTCACGTCCAGAATAGATATCATTTGCAAGTTTAAAATTCCCCATTCTCTGTCTTATTTACATAACTGCTGAAACAAAGGGAAAATCCAAATCCCATCTTCAAACAACATTCAGCAACATTCACGCACAGCCAAAAAGTAGGAGAAATGAATTTAGCTCACCAAGTCAGTTGAGAACGATAATCAAAACTTGAAGCTTCTTCATCCCAAATCAGTGACCATAACCAGGAGGAGGAAAAATAACGCTTCTGCATGAAAGAGGAGAAGGAAAAATGACTATGACTCACCAATAGAGCAGGGAAAGAATGATAAAAAGGAACCAAAGCTCACACATCAACACCAAATCAATTCGGTCAAGAGGAGGAGAAAATTGAGTAATGTGAGCAGGGGGAGGAGAGGACCAGAAAATCAAACCTTCTGCAGCAAAGAATGACTGCCACGGCCCAAAATCGAAGAACCCACGCTAGCGATAGAGAAGAATGGTGATCGGACGAGCTTATAATGACCCCCAATGGTGAGCGTTCAGCGATGTAAAACAGGGAGAGCAAGATGAATCTTAATGCTTCCATAGCTGGCGACAGAGAAGAACCGAGGAAGAAGGAGACCTTTCACTGTCGCTGGCACTAGACAAGAAAGTAAGACAGAGGAAGACCAGAAATCAGGGGTGAGACTTGTGCATGCACTCTCTACCTCAATCTCTCTCAATCAGCTAGCAACACCCCAAATGAATCAGAAACTTTCGATTCCTCTTATCTTTTAACTCTCTTGATTTTTTTAAGCCGAAGGGCAAAATGGTAATTTAACCTAACTCTTTGTAAAAATAAAAAATTTTCTTCTCTTGCCTTGAAGAGAGTTCAAACTTGAGATCTAGGTCATGAATGAGTGACTCACTTAACACTATCTTAACTCACTTCCTTAGTGTGTGTGTAAAGAAATCCTCAAAATACCTTACCATCAATTTTAATTTCAATTAAATACTAGGTCATTACAGTATACATCGAGATAATAGAGTGGAAATGGAGATGAGAAACAAGCCTATAGTAGATGAATTGCAATTGGTAAAATTGAGTGAAACACATTGAGCTTAGAGTACAAACACTTAACTGGTGAGAGACAACCTATTGTGATTTATCCTTGTCTAGTTAGTTACCTTGTTGCTCACATTTTTTAAAAAGGGTAGAAATGATTCTTTTGAAAACTAAATGCTTGAAGGTTTGAATTATTTTTGATTTGACAATTTTTGCAATCTTTGTGTTTAGTTAGTTCTTTTGTGTTTAATTGTTTTCAAAAATCTTGAGGACAAGATTTGATTCAAGTGTGGGGGTGTGATAACTCCTTATTTTGTGTTATAATTGATATGTTTTTGGTTATATATTGGGAGTCATTAATAGAAAAGAGAAACATTTTCTTGCTTTTATAAAGAAAAATTAAAGTGTGGATTTATTGTAATATTTTTAAAGAAATTATTCAAAAGGATGAAAATTGAAGTAAGCAAAGGTTCTACTTATATTTATTAATTGTGAATAGGTGGGGCATGACAATATCAAATCAAGAAAGAGAAAGGAGACAAGAAAAATGCGCTTTTCAGTCCAAGACACAAAAGCAAAAGTTCCTACATACTGTCAGAATTTTCAGAATTACTCTCTGGTGCCATGGCACCAGACAAAAATGCAGAAACGCACAGTTTTATTTTCTATGCAAAATTAACCTACATAACTCATTTTTTTAGACTAGAGGAGGCACCTTTCAGTTGCTGCAACTGGATAAAACCCTAGGAGAGTAAGGGGAGAAGTCTTGAAGCTTGGGATCAAGAAGTAGTAGAGCAAATCTTCATTCTACCTCATTTTTTCAGTGTTTTCTCTTCTTCTTTTTCTTTATGTTGATAGATTTGAATCTTTCCTGTGCTGTTACAATTTTCATTCTAGCTATGTGTAGCTAAATCTTCTTGTTCTAGAGAACTATGAACCTATTTGTGTAAATAACCTTGGATTTATCATTTAGTTGTTGAGAAATGGAGTTTTGATTACTTGTTCTTAAGCTATTTCGTTTTTGTTTAGTGATTGGCTACCACTAGGTGAGATTTGGGCATTTAGGTTGAAGATTGGAAGAGGAGACTTAAATTGAACTTTGAGAACTAGTAGCGTAGGATTAGTTTAATTAATTTGCCATTAGAACATAAATGTATTTAATGGACCTAAGTAATCCTCATTGGTTAGGGTCTCTAATGCAATTAATTAATTAAAATAATAATTTGCTTTAATTAAATGAATTAGCATCCTTAGCGATGGAAGATACATTGGATTAATTTAGATTCTTGGATTATCAAAATTGAATTTCAAGACAATGAAGATGGTAATTAGAAGGTTAGGAAACAAATAGGGGATTAGGACTCTAGAACACCCTTCTCTTGGTTGATTTTAGTTGTTTGTGAATTGAAAGTTATTTTAATTAATCACTTTTAATATTTTTATTTTAATTGTTCTAAAATTGATCTCTAGTTTTATTAGCATAACGTGAATGAATTTGAAAATTTAATGCCTAATCGCCATCTTAATTAATTTTCTAAGGGATCAACCTTAATTTACCATTAATTTCAATTGCGACCTATACACTTGCGATGTCTCTTAATTTTTGTGGGCATCAATGTTGTTGGATGGTGATCAAGACCAAGACTGGATCTTCTCGTAGCCTTAAAAATTTCATGACTCAGGAAATCGTAACTTTTTTGTTTTGTTATGTTCTTTTGTTCTTCCAGTGGATAGTTATAATGATGTTTAGTGTTGCCTTTGGTTTTTCTTTATATATATATATATATATAGGTGTAAGAAAAGAAAATTAAAGGGTGAAAAAAAGGTGAGTGATAATAGCGTTGTTTGTGTTGCTCCCCTTTCGAAGTTGAGTCTTGTGTTTTGCCAATAAAATAGAGTTTTATAAAATTGGTCTTATTTAGTAGCTGTGTGTGTGTGTGTGTAAGAATTTGTTTGGACAAAGGATAACTTCAGAAGTAAACATTTACGATCTTAGTATTGCTTGATTTTTATTAACAAACAGCTGGAAGAATATTTCTTAAGGAATAATGGTCGATTGAGTCAGAAATTATTTCTCAGAAACATTTCATAATCAAGCTTGATGGATTTAGAACTTATTATATGATTCCAAGATTTAAGAAATGTTTTTTATACACAAATTCTTACATGTCATATATGCCCCTGAATTTAGTATTTTGCGCTGGTGAATATGTATCTACAAGGAAAGATTACTTTAAGGGAAGACCCTAAATAATAAGAATAAATGAGTAAAGTAAGTAATCTTACTTGAGGTGTTGATGATAATATAATGGTTGAAAATGAAAAAGGCAACAAGTCTGATTTCAGGAACGTGAACACCGTATTTTGTCTGAATATTTTTTTTAAGTTTAATAATAAATAATCAAAAAATATAAAAAACACAAAAATAAAATTTAATCTTTTTTTAGGATTATATTTTCAAAAAAATAATAATAATGATAATTTAACAAAATCAAAAATCTTGCTTGAATTTTAAAAAAAAAAATCTCTCCCAAATTATCCCAATCATTTAAGAATATTGGGAGTCTACTTTTGAGAGTTAACCTTTTTCTCCTCAAATCTTATTTTCATCTAAATATTATATATGTATGTATGTATGTATTATTGATAAAAAAAAGAAGAAAGCTGGGTGAAACACTGATGGGCAGTCAGCACACGCGAGCAGAAACATGCACGCACACGAGAGAAACAAAAACTTGCAGAGGCACACACACACAACACAGAAAAGAGAACACACACGCACGTATACTTTCGGCCATGTAGCAGAAATAGCAAAAATAGAAATGCAAAGCACATAGCCACAACATAGAAGAGACACACGTTACAGCAAAACATAAAGAAGGAAAATGCAGAGGTGGTCGTTCATGCACACATTATAGTAAAAGTGGAGAAAAATGCAGGCACATTGTCAGTTATCTTTTCGGCATTGATTAGGGAGAATAGAACACACGAGGATCAGTAGCAGAGAAATGAAGAAGAAGCAGAAATGTAGCACTCACACGCAAAAGAAAGAGAAACAGAGCAGAGAACTTTTGGCACACGCAGAAAATGCAGCTGAAAAGAAGGAAAAAAGAAGAAGTGGAGCAAGAGAGCAATGATTCACCTCTTCCATTCTCTATATAAGGCTAAACATGAAATAGAGGTAGGGGGAGTTGGTTTTGGCTGGAAAAACAGGAGAGAAACCGAGAGAGAGTTGAGACGAGAAGGAGAGAGAGTTGAGATGGGAAGAGAAGAGAGAACGGGGAAAGAAGAGCATTGAGACTAAGAGGAAGAGACAAACGAGAGCTGCAGACCGAGAAAGAAGAACACAAAAAACAAGAACACGGAGAGAGGAGGAAGAACGCAGAAAAACAGAGCACAAGGAAAGAAAAACAGAGCACGAGAAAAAAACAAAAAAAAAAGGGAGAGAAGAGAGAAACCGAACGGAGTAAAACCGAGGTCAAGACAACAGGAAACTGAGACAAAAAGAGAGAGAGCTGAGACTAAGACGAGAATAGAGAAAACCAGCGTAATATACCGAGGAGAAGAGCACAAAAAAAACAAAAAAGAAAACGAGGACGAGAGGAAAAGGTGTAGAGGTCTTTCTCTGTGCCAAAGGAACAAAGGCCGTGTCTTGCTTGAGGAAAGAGCAGCATTTTGGTTCAGAACTGGGAGCTAGCTATTCCTTTCCATCACTACAAGAAGTCTGAGTTGTTTTTCTCCCTTCTCTGCTCTGCTATTTGGTACGCCACACTTGTCTTTTGCTTCATATTGTCCTGGTTCTAAAGTCTGGCAACAGATACGTGAGTAGATTTTTATCATGAAAGGGATCCTTGATGATAACTCCTTGTATTTGAAATAAGAAAATTTAGAGGTTTTAAATGTTCAAGTATGGATAGAAAATATTTGTGAAAATATTTGAAGAGAAAGTAATCCTGTAACATTGTGTTTTCTTTCTCTAAATAGTGTTGCATACTTTAAATATACTCTAACATGTGTTTATATACTTTTACAAATGAGGTTGATTGAGTTATAATACTTTCGCATGATGTTTTTTTGATTCTAACATTTTGAACAAAAATTTTATTGTTGAGCTAAGTGATAAGAAGATTCAAATTTGTCTCCTAGAATGAAAGAGTATCAATCAACCTAAATTTGATTTCTATTTCTTTATTTCTCAAAGTCATACATTATTTTGTGTTTAATTTTCATTTAATAATAATTGATTAATTCTTGAAGATAATTTTGATTTACATGACATCATTTTCATATGAAGATTTTAAACATGTGGTTAAATGAAGGAGTTTATTCTTATATAATCAATTAAAACATTTGAATGGTATTGTGAGAGATTTAAAAAATCTCTGTAGATATTCAACTTAATCGCCTCATTGTAAAGGATAATAAGTCCTCGCAAATGTCGTGGTCATTAACTTATAAAATAAATAAATTTCGTAAATAAAATTTTAAATGTTTTTTACTAAAATTAATTAATTAAATTAATGCATTAAATCTTTTGGTCATGTGAGATTTTTGAATATTCATAGACCTCTAGAATAATCATCTTACCGTAAAAGTCAATAAGACTTCGTAGGTATAGCGATTAAGTTTTTTTTTTATATTTTGAAATGCAAATTACATAATTACATATTAAAATATTTTT